CCACTTGAAAATTTCACAAGGAGAAAAATCCCCAAAGCCATGTGCCAAGCCACCTACAATAAATTATTCTCTTTTCTGGACAGGACCCAGCATGTGAGGGGCTGGAAATCCTTCCAGAGGGTAGCTCTGTGAAAATTCTGCCTCTCACATTAAAATTCCATCTCATCTTCTGCCACAGAGGAGAAAATATTTGAGCTGGAAAGGAAAATGAACAAATGTGGAAACTGAGTTTGGCCCTGGTTCAGAGTCAATGCGGGGATGGCCCTGGGGGAGGCATGGGGTGCCCTGCCCGGTCCTGGGGGCACTGAGCCTGAGCCCCACTTTATGTTGATGCCCTGCCCTTTACAGCTGGAAATGCGATTTTCATCCAGCACCTTAGCGGATCTTCCCTTGGACTGGGGAGCTTTGCAGGTGAGAAACTGAGGCTCAGAGAGGCGAAGCCACTGGCCCGCGAGACCTTCTACTCATCCTGGAAAACATGAGCAAGGCAAGCAGTCCAGAGTAAGAGAGAGGGCCGGGGAGATGGCTCAGTAGAATAAGCGCTTCCCTGGCAAGTGCAAGGGCCTGAGTTCAATCCCTGGTTCTGCCAAAAGAAAAAAGAAAAAAAAAAAGAAAAGAAAAAAAAAAAAAGAGTAAGAGAGATAAAAAGGTCAGCCAAGGACACGATGTCAAATTATAGAGTTGGAGGGAAGGGACCGGTGCCCTGGGCGGGTCTGAAGTGTGAGCTCACTGATTTCAAATGCAAACTGTTCACCAGGTTGTACAACCTTTTTCCTACGACTCGAGGATCATTGTTGCCCGTGTGCACGGGGCTGTCCACAAGGCGCGGCTGATAAAGTCGGGACACAGCTCAGCTGGACCGCGAGGAAGCTGAAGGCACGTAGCGGTTGGCATTGAGAGGTCAAAGATCTCGGAGAGGTCAGGGAATGGGGAAGCCTTTGCAGAAACTGTACAGAGCAGGAGGTGGGTGGTGCAGGTGAAAGCCGGAAGCAGTGTGTTTGGGGTTAAACATGTTCAGGGTGGAGGAGATGAAACCCGGCAGAGGTTGCTAGGTCGCGGGGCGGGTCATCAGCCCCATGTGCAGCGCAGGCAGGGACAGGCCACCTGGCCCAGCTTGGCCCACCTCGAGGCGGGAAGTAGCTTCATGTCTGTCCTTAGGAGGACCCGACGTGTGAGAGCGACAAAGGGCACCTCGGTCTTGGCGGGTGCTCGGGAAGCCCGCGCTCTCGGCCTGGGGCTGTATTTACCTGCAGGGGGCGCACCGCGGTAGGGCTGGGAATGCGCTAGGGACCACGAGCGCCACGCAGATACGAGTCCCATCCTGTTCTCCATAGCCTCGGGCCAGGGTGTGGCTGCTCAAGTACAGCTCAGGGGTTCAGCGCAGAGGGCACGGGCTCAGAACCCCCTGTGGCCAGCGGCACGCAGCGAGGCGTGGGTGAGAAGGTGCCGCTTTCAGGGCTGTGCCGGTTTCTTCCGATCCGTGCAAGTGGCCACCGCTCGCATTCATCAGCGTCCAGCGAGTGCTCAACCTCGTTGGGTCCATCACGTCAGCCACTGGCCGCCTCCTCCCCGCCTCCCAGGATATTGAAAATGGAATCTAAACAGACCCTTTGCCATCAGATCCTGCCAAGCTCTCCCTGCTCTTCCTACGTCAGGACTCCCCTGCTCAGCCTTCTGGGCAGGCTCCAGTCTGCCAAGTTCAGCCTTGTGTCAGCTGGGCTTTGCATGTGCTGTGGCCTCCGCCTGCGATGCCCTCGCTTGGATTTTGCCATGCCTCCTTCAGTCCTTCATGCAGGCCCTTGCTCAGATGCCAGCGCCTCAGGGGGTGCTCCCCAACTACTGCAGGCACAGTGTGTACCATAGCTGCCAGCAACTGCCTCGACCACCCGCGCTCTCTTTGGCCCTGGCCCTTTTCCTACCATTCTCTCTGTCTCTGTCTCTGTCTCTGTCTCTGTCTCTGTCTCTGTCTCCGTCTGTCTCTGTCTCTGTCCCTGTGTCTGTCTCTGTCTCTCCCCCAAACCTTCCCTCTCCCTCTATCTCTTCCCTCTCTTGCCCCTCCCCTCCCCTCTTCCCATCCTCTTCCTTTCCTCCTTCCCTTCCTCCCTTCCTTCTTTTTCTCTCCCCACTTCTTCTCTCCTCTTCTTGGCTCTAAGGTATTTCCCCCCCAGAATGTCAGCTCCTGAGGGACAAAGAGCTCAAGATGAGGCCCCTCACGTTGTGGAGCAGCGCCCGACACATAATAATAAATGCCCATTTGAGGTGGAAAGTGAATTACTATAGTTTCCTTTCAAAAGACATTTATTCATTTAAATGGAAAAGCAAATCAATCAGAAGAAAGGCAATCTGTGAGTAGTCAATTAGGATAACTTGGCAAATGACCCAAGTGATGCTAAGCAGCGGCCACGTGTAACACAAGTGTCCTGCACAAAAAAGGGCTTGGGCACCACCCTGCTGGGCACAACTCTTGGGCTGATGGGAGGAGGCAGCTCCCAGCATGCACCTGCGAATAAGTAAACTGAACACTTCTCTCTTCTGATTGATGGTAAAGTCCCGGAGCACCTAGCTGGTATCTCAGCTTCTTAGCTCCTTCTGCTGCCTGCCCACATTCCCATCTCCCACGTGGTCTGCATCCTTGCTGTCCTCCTCACTCAGCACTAGCTGTCCAGGATGCTGTTGGGACACAGCCCCACTCTGAGCTCCTCCTGGACCAAGTGATGTCATCTCTAGATCATCCCCATGATCCAGAGGGGCGGTCGCTCAAGCCCCACCCCGACTGTAATAAGTTGAGCGATGGGACATTCTTTTTTTAGATGTCTTCTCATCTGGATTCAATAGCACCTCTCCCACCCACGTTACCCAAACAGCTAGTGCTGCGTTGATGGCTTGGCATGGGTCCCCAGAGCCTTGGCTCTTTGAGGAGACGAAGTCTTAGAAATGTGGTTGAAAGAAATGTTTGAAAGAGAAACCCACTGGGAGGCTGCAAACAGGCAGATCACTACGAATCTGGTCTAGTAGTGAGACCCTGAAACCCTGTAGACCTTTCCCTAAAATACACAAAACACAGCAAACAAAGAAAAACCCCATGAGGCATGGAGGCACAGACTACAGGTGATGTAGCCACGGTGCCAAGTGTGGCTTCTATCCGTCTCCAAGATTAGGACCGATAGCTCATACTCGGCAACTAGAAAAATGTGAATGTCTGGCTTTCCTTGAAAATTCAGATGGTCAGGCCACACGGTGCGCCACATTTCCACGAGGCGGACACCAGCTGGAACAGACCCCTGGGCCTGTCTGCCATGCTTGGCTCCCTGCACCCCACTCTTCTCCTACCTCAGAGAGTAGGGTGCTGGTCGAGAGGGGAAGGAACCAGCCTAAGAAGAGAAGGAGGGGCAGGCAAATGTAGAGAGGTGTGGCTCTGTGTGGCTCTGTGTGGCTCTGTGGTGAGATCAGGAGGGCTGCCAGCGTGGACACCGCAGCGCTGGTAGATGCTTAGCTGCCCTCCAGAGAAGAGCACGCATGCTTCTGGGAGTGACTTTTCTCGGGATAAAAGATGAGCTCGTGGTGCACAACTTACAAATAAAAATGAACTCTATACTGTAAATGCTCTTCTTTCTTTCTTTCTTTCTTTCTTTCTTTCTTTCTTTTTTTTGCGGAACTGGGGATTGAACTCAGGCCCTCACGCTTGCCAGGGAAGCGCTTATACCACTGCGCCATCTCCCCAGCCCCTTGTAAATGCTCTTTATTGTAACTCCTCTTATGCAAATTTCAGACACCAGTTAATTCTGACAGAATCCTTCTGATAGTTTGAACCTCATGGCTCGTATGCCAAGCCAACTCTCCCTGCAGTTCAGTCATGGTTTGACAAAACTGGACCACAAATGAAAATGCTTGACACTTGTACACACCACAGAAGCTGGCTGGAACCGTTGTTCACGTTAACAAATGAGACAGGACAAGTAAAGCAGTTAAGCTGGGCGTGGTAGTGCATCCCTGTAATCATAGTTGCTTAGGGAGATGAGGCAGGAGGATCTCAAGTTCAAGGCTGGCCTGGACAACTTGGTGAGACCCTGACTGAAAATAAAAATGGAAAAAGGGCTGGGGATATGATAGGTCCTGGCCCTAGTATGAATTGTTAAAATCATTGTGGTGGTCATCTAATATGGCCGATGCCCTTAAAAGCCCATCTTCCCAAGACCACCTCCCCCTTCTTCTCCAACTTAGTCCAGGACATAATTTACTTCCACCCTTCCCACCGCCTCAGGGAAGACCCCAATCAGCTCTTTTAGGTGTATCTAGACTTCTCCTTCAAACTTCACCCCTGACAAAGGCCATAAATACCTCAGTCTCCCTTTGTTTAATTCGAGAGAATTCCTCTATTCCCCAAATTCTCTCCATGTCCTCAAAGAAAATAAAGCCCCTTTCTCTTTTTTCCTCTGCCTGTTTTTCTGCTGAGCTGTACACTTGAAAAAAACCTATCAGGATGTAATTCAGCACTCATTGGGCTCAACCCGAGCACCGCAAAGACATGCAAACCATTAAAAAAGCCATTAGGATAGACAGTAGTCCAGTATTTCTTTACCAGTGACATAAGCCCTACATCTGCTAAATTGGACAAAACTTCAGACTCATAGTGATCCTCCTGTCTCAGCTCCCCAGCGCTGGGATTATAGGCAGGCCCCACGATACCCAGTTCTGGGGTCAGCACAGCATGTAGTACTGGGGATCAAACCCAGGTCCTTGCACATGCCAGGCAGGCACTTAGGCCACTGAGCTGTCTCCCCAGCTCATGGCAAGCTTTTAAGTTTAATTTGCATCACTAACATGTGATCCGGCAGTTGCTAACTCACACTAACCCGGCCCTGATTAGCGTTCCTTAACCTGTGTGATGTGGGCACATTTCTGGGGCCAGCTGAACACGGTTAAGGGCAAAGAGTATTAGGATAATTAGGAGTCAGTGAAGATGGAGTATTAATTACCTTTGTCTTTCATATCATGCATTTAATTATAATTCAATAATATAAAATAAGTTACATTTTTAATAACAGTTGTGTTTGACAACCAGTTTAATTTAATAATCATCTCTCACAAGCCAGCTCTAGCCCATCTCTGGTTCAGGAAATCACTAGAAACAGAGAGGAACCTTCATGGGCCCTGGACACAGGTGAAACAGCACCTGGGGCACAACTGTCCCCATTGCGCAGATGAGGACATGGAGGCTGAGGGCGTGGTTAGTGAGGCCACACTTACAGCCAGCTGCGTGGTCTTCAAACTCCCTTCCTCTGGCAGAGCCTCCTGCCCTGTCCTGGCAGTGGACCTTCGTGTCTGTCACACACGTGTGACAGTTCTTGGATGTTTGTGTGCACAGCCCCCAAATCCTATTCTCCTTTCCTTCAGACTTGAATCCTCCAAAGTGGTGTCAGCAACCAGAGTGTGGGCAGGGTCCGTGTCGAGTGTCTGTTGTGTCACCAGCTGATAGAATTCCAGCCCAGTGGGGTCAGGAGAGGTCTCAAGCACAGCCCAGCCCAAGACTTCCATTGCATGTATGAGACCCAGGTTCACAGAGGAGTAAAACTGGCAGAACCAGGACTAGAACTCAAGCCTGGCCAAGTGGTCAGAGTTTCAAGTAAATGATAAAGATCTTTGGCAAGAAGATTAGAGGAGATGAACAAGACTGAGAGCTAAGATCCCAAGGGCAGGATTCTCCCCAGAGACCCCTGTGAGTTGGAAAAAGACAGCAGAGAATGTGGTATTCTTAGGGGAGATTCTAGGAGACACTTCCTGCCAGGACTGGTACCCCAAAGACCAAAGATTGCTTGAGAAAGTCCACAGTGTGAGAAATACTCAGTAGAGGCTCTCACTAAAAATGCTGTAGATATATGCGAAGTCAGTGGGGAAACTGAGGCATGAAGACAGATCTTCAGGGTCTCATACTCAAAATGAGTTTGGGCTTCTCAGATTTTCATCTCTGACCCCAATAGGAGGAAAAAGTGACAACAACAAAAAGTTCCTCCTTTGGGCTAGGGGTCACCCCCTAGGGGCCTCCTGGACCTTGTGCTGCTGGCCCCACAAGCAGGAAGCTTCGAGATGCTCTGCAGGCAGTGGCGGTCTGCACCTTCTGGATGGGTGGGCTCCTCAGGGGGCCGAGCAGACCTTGATGCGGCTGTACTGGATGCCGGCCGAGCTCTTCCTGTGGCTAAAGCTTAGGGTGAACCTGTCAAGGGGGACAGTGACAGGGATCAGAGGGCAGCAGGATCAGCGCCCTTCCTGGGGGCAGCAGGCACCATGCCCATTCTCACTCCTATCTGGCCCCTTCCGCCTCCTGTCTCTATGCACACTGCCCTGTCCCCTCACTAGGGCACCCCGCAGCTCCCCAGCCTTCCTGCCCATGCCCACCCTCTTCCCATCACAGCAGAGCCAGTTTTCTAAACATAGAAGCCAGATCCTGTCCCTCTCTTAGGACACTCGCCTATACCCCAGCCCCTCCTCACTGCCTTCCCTGACGCCATTGCCCTCCCCTCCCAAGTGCCCACAGCACCCTCCCCACATTGGCCTCCAGTCTCTCCCTCAGACCCTGCCCCCAGGGCCTTTGTTCTTGTTCCTCCCTGCCCAGAACATTCACTTCCAGCCCTGGAAATGGAGGGCTGTCTCACCCCTCAGAGGCCTTCCTTTCCTTCAGTGGAGCTGCGTTCCTTAAGCACCCGAGATGCACCCGGTGCTGTCTTGGGCCCTGGAGATCCAGCAGTGAATGCAGCAGGCGCCCACATGCCACGTGCTTGTGGAGGGTCCATGAGAGCACCAACAGCCTGCCCGCACCCTAGCTACGGGGTGCACCTCTCCCCCAATCCACTGTTCTTTCTCATGCATTAACCCAGCTTGTGTTCTTCATGGTGTAATGCTGCTCTGAAATGATCATACGTGTGCATTTGTGTGTTCTGTTCTCTTTCTCCCTCTGTCTCTATCTCCCCTGCTCATCCTCTTCCTCCCCCTTCTCCCCCTCTCCCTGCAAATGTAATTTCTCTCTAAACTAGAGACAGTGTCTCCTCACTGCCCAGCTCCTAACTGGCCCTTAAAAATATTTGGTGGAAGCTAAGTGAATGGACTTTTGAGAAATTGGCATAAAACAAGGATTGGGGCTTTTTTTTTTTTTTTTTTTGCCTGGACCACTGCAGGCTGAGCTGTAAGTTTTCAGGGTCGGGATTGGGGAGATAGCTCAGTAGAATAAGTGCTTGCCTAGGCAGTGCAAAGGCCTGAGTTCAATCCCCGGTTCCGCCAAAAAAAAAGAAAAAAAAGTTTTCAGGGTCAAAAGCACACCTAAGGCACAGTGACAAGGCCAGAAGTGGCCCCCTAGCTGTGAGTGTTGCCCTCATCCAGCGTCTACCCCTTGGCCTTGAGAATTACCTGCTCTGCAGCATGTAGGGTTGTCTGTCAAGAAGCCCTGCCTTGACCAATCAGACTTGCTCTGCGCCTGGGACTCTTGTATGGCGCAAGACAGGCCTGAACTGTGCTGAAAAGACCTTCCCGCTACTTCCTGTATCAGAGTCCTGGGAGCTGTCCTGCTCCTTGGTGGCTGAGATCAAGCTCCTTTCACTCTCCCTTTGTGGCTCTCATATTAGGAGCCCCCTCAGCTATCTAGACTGGAATGGCAGGGCATGGGCCTGCCTGGGAGCTCTCCCAACACCCCAAACTCGCTGTCCTCATTCGGAGGCCCCCAGGCTCAGCCTGATGCTTCCCCCCACTTTGCCCAACCCCTGGGCTTGCTTCCAAAGGCCTTGCCTCTGTGCCCCTCTGCCTCTTTCTTGAAATCCACTTGTTCCTCCACTCAGCTGGGAGACACTCTGGGCTGGGCTGGTCCAGGGTGGAGGTTTTACACCATGCCAGGCCTGCGTGGCTTCAGGAGCCAGCAGGGGGCGAGGCTGGGGCCACTCCATATCAGAGGGATACTTAGAATCTCTCAGGGCATTCCAGTAGTAGAATGGGGTGTCTTCCTATGCAGAGACCAGGGTCACCTGCAAGGATGCTCAGGGCTGCGTCGCACTGAGGGCCGCTGTTCTGCTCTCTTGCTCAATGGTACAAAGCCCTGTGATGCTCCGATTCTGATTTCCCCTCTCTGACTTGAGGACTGATGTGCTAGCTCCTACCTATCTGGCTGAGCTGCTTTTCTGTAGGCCCTCCCTTGTTCCCTGCTTGTGTCAGATACACCCCCAATGACAGGGCTCCTTAAAAGCCCTGTGCTTTTCCTTGTTCACTGCTGTCTTAGTCTACTAGACAGCCAGCTGCCCTTCCCTAGTTCCAAAAAATCTTCTCATGTCAGAATGCCTGATCTGGTCGATTACATAGGTTCGTACCTAACACCCACAACAGGGCCTTTCCCTTGCCATCCTCTCTACCTGGAGCCCTCCTCCCCTCCCTACCCTTCTTCTTCACACATGGCCACCTCTTTCTTCTCACTAATGAAAGTGTACCCCCTTAGAAAGAGTCTTCTCTCTCTGACCACCTACTCTAATGTTGCCATGAATCCTGTCTCCTCTGTCACCCTGGTTTCACTTTCTTCTGGTTACAGATCACCAGCTAAATGTTTAGGCATTTATTGGCTTGTTTATTCTCTGTCCCAAGAGGAAAAGAAACATGTTCTTTTGTATTTTGTTTGCTATTTTCTTTTCTTTTTTTTTTTTTTTTTTTTGGCGGAACCAGGGATTGAACTTTGGCCCTTGAACTTGCCAGGGAAGTGCTTATTCCACTGAGCCATCTTCCCGGCCCTTTGTTCGCTGTTTTCTGAGACAGAGTCTCGCTATGTAGTTTGAGCCAGCCTCAAACTCCCCATGTAGCCCAGGTAGGCCTCGAGCTCGCAACAACCCTCCTGCCTTCCAACGGCTGGGGTTACAGGCGTGGGCCACTATGCCTGTAAGAAGCTGTAAGAAACCTGCTATTCTTAATCTCTACCACATCTCCTAAGGCTCATAAGGACTTAATAAATATCCACAGAATAAATGGAATAAGTCCATCCACAAGTGTTTTGTGTATAAGTTTTGCTTGTTTCTTTGTTATGTTTTGCTCTAAGATGAGGTTGCCCTAAGCTTGCCCAGGCTGGCCTTGGACTTCTGAACCTCCTGCCTCAGCCTTCCACGTATTTGGAATTACAGGTATATCAGACTTCTATGAATTTTTTTTTTTTTGGAACCGGAGATTGAACTCAGGCCCTTGAGCTTGCCAGGCAAGTGGTTATTCTACTGAGCCATCTCTCCAGCCCCTTCTATGAAATTTTTTTTTTCAGAACCAGGGATTGAACTCAGGCTCTTGCGCTTGCCAGGGAAGCACTTATCCTACTGAGCTATCTCCCTGGTCCCTCTATGAAATTTTTAAAGGTCATAATTACAAGGTTTTGTTTCTCCAGGGCTCTGTGAATCTTAGATTCTATGGTTTTAGGATTTCTCTGCTCTGCCCTCTTACTCTATAACAGAGATTTTTAAATCCCTGTAGTCTAGGCTTTAGGGTCAAAGGAAAAGCTGCTGCCGGAAGACACAAAACAACTGATGGGAAACAACTGTCAGACTGTGACAAAGCTCAGGGCAAGAAGAGACAGGAGGAAAGGGAAAGGGAACAGGCATCCAGCAGAAACAGGATGAGGATGACATCCAAAGCTCTGGCCCAGGACTAGGGCGGCTCTTTCCCAAGATCCAGCCATCTGCGTCCACATCCTACCGACTGTTCTGGAATTGCTGGTCTATCTCCGCCAGTGACTGGCCTTTTGTTTCAGGAACGAAAAAGTAGATGAAGCCAAGACCGAGGACAGCAGTCAGCCCATAAATCAGGAAGATCCAGGACAAGCCAATGGCACCTGGGGACAGGAGGGCAGGTATGAGTGCCCTACAGCCTGGACCTTCTGGCAGGTTCTAGGTGGGGCATGGAAAGCCAATTCCCTCAAAGGCTCAGGGTGACAGATTTGTGGAATGGGCCAAGGAACTATCAGTAAGTGGCTAAAGGCACAAATCTGATCGACCACCACAGAGGCAGAGCAGGTACTGGGGCACAAACCCATCAACACAAATGGGAACAACTTGCATTTAGGGGAAAGATCACTCCCACACACCTGACACGTTAGCCATGTTCAGAATTCGGTATGCCTGAACTGAGGCAGTGACATTCAGCTTGGTGGGAAATAGCTCGGTGAGGACACAGACTTAGCTCAGCTTCAAAAATAGCACTCAAAGTCCCAGCAATGGGTCCTTCAGTGATGTGGCTATTTGGGAAACAACTTCATCCACTTTGGCCTGTGTCTGACTGGTTGGGGAGAAGACAGACATAAAGCTTGGTCCCTGGACCAGGGACTCAAGCAGCCCTGCACCTCCTCTTCCTCCTGTTGACCCTGTCTCCTTTTCTTCTGCATCTTCTCCTCTCCGTTTGTTCCTCTCCTCCCCTCTGTCTCACTCATTCTTTCCCTACTTCAGGAACGCCTGAAGTCTGAAGCAACAGGGGGAAGCCTAGAGTCCTTAATACTATGTGAGGAGACAGTTATGGTGGGTGGCTTCTTCCCCCAGTTCCCCCTACAGCTCCATGAGTTGCTGTGTACCTGAGGAGGGGACTCTTGGTCACATGGAAAAGGAAAGGAACTGAAGCTTAAGTACTGTATTGTGCTTTGGGACCCACAATGAGGCCTAGGCATAAGCATAGCCACTGTGGTTGGCTGAGGGACGGACACGTGACCTTGACTTTGCTGAGCCAATGAGGACTTGTCCCAGGACTTGGGTTGGAGCCAGTGGGGAAAGGGATCTTTTTCCCTGCGGCTAAGCTTGAGAGGCTGTTGGCAGTCATCTTTGTTCTGTGAGCCTGATCTGCTTGGGTGTGAAACAACAGGCGGAGGCCAAAGGAGTGAATGATGGTCAACAGCTGTGATGGAGCCCAGGCATCAGCTTTGCTTGAAGGCACTCCACCTTCTTCTTGTCAGGGATTTAAGGCAGAATATTCCCTTATATTCCCAACATAACTTGGGCTGCACTGGGTTTTCCGTCACTTGTGACTAAAATGATATTGATACTGAGAGACTCTGACTCTGAAAGAAACTATTTCTAGATCTGGATACAACTAAGCTGAGGGATAAGAACAAAGGACTTACCAATGAGATCGAGGAAGGAGAGGCTGATGAAGAGGTTGGCAGCCCAGTTGAAGCTGTTGCAGAAGGCAAAGGCTCTGCCGCGGACCTCCCCAGGGTAGATCTCGCTGAGGACAAGCCAGGTCACTAGGACAGAAGAGCAGAGGAAGGTGGAGTGGCTTCAAGCAGAGCTCTTTCCTGGGCTCCCTCACAGGAGGCCTGGCACCAAAGGGCCAAATGGTGGCCTCCCAGCCAGGTGAGTCAGGGAAACTGTTAGGCTCCTGATACCCACCCCATCTCCTTTATGGAGGAAGGGTTCCTTTTGGGTCACCACAGTCTCTATTTGCCCAAGACTCAGAGGCCTCTCAGGACACAGGCTTTCAATGCTGAAATTTCTGTTAAATTTCTTTCAAGTAAACCTTTCCAGTTGAGTTATCCAGGGACAACCCCAGGTTGTACGGGGCCTGAGGCTCAAACAGTTAACATATATAATTATTAATATATAGTTTGTATGTATTTTAACGTGAAGTTAGGCCCCATCCTGGGGGCAGTCCTGACGCCTTAGGCCTATCTGCCTCTAGTGCCCCACTAGACTGATGGGGCTTTGAACTGCCCTGCATGAGGGAAGGAGGGAGGTTCCAGATTTACTCAAAAGAAATTCCAGGGGCTGGAGAGATGGCTCAGTGGTCTAAAGCACCTACTTAGAACAAGCTTAGCAAAGCATCAGGGACCGCGGTTCAGTCCCCCAGCACCACATGCCAGCCAGCCCCGCCCCCTGGTGGG